GTCGGGCGTGTGCGAAAAAGAGCGCAAATCGGAGCTCAACTCGCGCGCGGCTGGGAAAGGGGTGTGGCACCCCTCCGAAGGCGCCTCGCGAGGAGCTGCTGCTGCCTCCAAACGCGCTCGGGCAGCACGTCGGCGCGCCTGCGGGGTTGGGGAGGTGAAACTATGCTTGCTGGCACGCGCATCCCGCACCACCCCCACGTCCGCGCGCACCATGCCGCCATCCCACCTCACAGCCAAGCGCCATCGCCGTCGGACGCGGCGACGCCGAGCGGTGGCCTCGCAGACGACGAGCGCGATGAGGCCGCCGCGCCGCCGGGGTGGCCGGCGCGTGCCAGCCGCTGGCCCGTCCAGCGTGGCGGGACCGGCTCGCCCATCCTGGCCCGCGCGCTTGCCGACGCGAGAAGATCGCGCGAGAGGGCAAAATGTGGGCAAAATGGCGTGTTTGCCCACCCTTCACGGCGACTTCACGTCGGAACGAGTCGGATCGACGACTCCCCGCCTGCACCAGCGTGTGCGCCTTGCAATTCTATACAGAATCGACACGTGGTACGTCTTCTCAATCGCTCGTGGAGAGGAGCTACGGCCATTCCTAAGTAGTGTTCAACGACGTTGAACAATGTTCAACGTCGTTGAACACGGTCCAGTAACCGTTGGTTGGTGAACAGTCTGTCTGTGTCTAGGTTAGAGAGCAAAAGGGATAGAGGGAAGAAGGGAGGGAGGGGCGTTTCGTTCTAAATTGATGAGAGGACTAGCACTTCACCGCCCGCACACTGCCGCCCATCCCTCCAAACGGGCTTCTTGGGTGGAAAGAGATGCCACCGGCGTGTTTCCGGTTACTCAAAACGGTCTGGTATGGGTGGACGCCCCGGGGCGAGACAACTCTGTGTGCGCATCCCTTGCCACTAGTGCGCCATCCCTGGCCACTCCAGAATCTTAGCGGCAGTCACCCTATCCGGAGTCCGAGCCCTGCGTTATGCTGCTGCTCGCATCATGCGTGGGCCTCGCCTGGTCCTGGTCGACGCGCACCGTCGGCGGTGTGCGCACGCGAAGCGCTCCGGCCGTCGCGGCCGCGGCAGCAGGACTCGCCGCTGACGCTGCGATGGCGGCCGACGCCACTGACACTGCCGAGTATCTCTGGCGCGGTGAGGTGCCTCTCCCTGGCGCCGACTGTCAAGAGCGGCTGGTTGGCGCGTCGCCAGGCGTCGCGCTCCGCGTGCTTCGATGGTCGCCCACCGACTCTGCCGCCGCCGGCCGCCGGCCGCTGGTCTTTGTCGCAGGGTGGGGCAGTGTCTTTGAGGGATGGCGGCCGCTGCTAACGACGTGGGCGTCTCGCCGGCCGATCATCTACATCGAGACGCGCGAGAAGAAGTCCGCCGAGTTTGACTTTCGGCCAAACGTCGCCGACTTTGCGATGGCGCGGCATGCTGACGACATCGCCGCTGTGCTCGCGGCGATCGGCGTCGCACCTTCCTCGGTCGACTGGTTCTCGTCGTCGCTCGGCGCGACCCTGCTGCTCGACGGCTTCCAGCGCGGCGCACTCGACGGCCGCGCGTCAGTCATGCTCGCGCCCAACCCCGCCTTCCAGTTTCCGCTCTGGGCGAGGCCGCTGCTGCGGCTCCCTCTGCCTCGGC